ATTACGACTTGTATTGTAGTGTAAATCGTGGATGGAGAAATCATTAAACTGGTATTTGATTTAATAAAGAGGGATAGTTGATTGAAATCGCGGTAATCATTTATGACGGTGACAATTACATGCCTTTTGATACATATTTTAATTATAATTGAGTATTTAATTGAATTAGTTATAATTGGTAGTTTGTATTCAACTTTAAAATGTAAAGTGACAATAAAATTATTTAAAAGAGCAACACTCAAGTTTCCTGCTCGTTCTTCTTGTGATGAGACAGCTTTCCGAATGAGAGGTACATAAAACAAAATGTGACGACTATTCAAAAATGCTTCAATGTAAGTTTATTTCAATAAACAATTTTCTATTCTATTCATACATTGTTATTGTTGCAGTGAATAAATATATGATTTTACATTTAAAATATATCGTAAATATTTTGTTGTCAACAGCAAAAGTAAATTATGCGCAATTATAATGTAATAGTATAAAAAAATGTATATTGAGCTGTTGAACTTTTTTATCCTTTTATTATTATCTTGATTTGAAACAAAGTGAAAAACTGTGATAACAATTAGTGGTTAATTTCTCACTTATTTTGATAACACTATCAATTTCTATAATATTGCGTTAGTTTCTATACTAATATAATAAAGTAAGTAGTAGTAGACTTCATTGATTCATAATTGTGTATTTGACTCATATACAATCTTATTAGATACTAGCTGCACCCGCGACTTCGTCCGCGTGGAATTTAACTTTATTGTTCTAAAATAAAAGTAGCCTACGTTACTCCATATTATATCAGCTACCGGCTAATAAAAGTCCTGCAAAATCGGTCCAGCCATTTCAGAGATTAGCCGGAACAAACAGACCGACAGACAGGCAGACAAAAATTGTAAAAAGTGTTTTTTTGGTATATGTACCGTATTTATATTCATAAGCATATAGTAAAAAACGATTATTTCAATATTAAAAACAGACACTTCAATTTTATTTATATGTATAGATATTATAATATCAAACATATATCTGTATGTAGCTAGACAACATTAAGTATATAGATGTCAAGCTAGTGTTTGCGTCATTGCACGCGAACACATCTATCTACGGTGCTGTTCCAACGAATTCTTAAATCTCTACTCACGTTCCGAAAAGTACCTTATGCCTCTGATATAAAGCTGAACAGTTGTGAAATATATACGTTTGCAGCTCTCGTCTTGATGGTTGCCGGCGAGGCCAAGAGACAGATAAATATCGTTTCGTACTCATCGCTTCACTTTGAAGCGGCGCGGTCAGTAATTTTCTCGCTCTCGTTGCTGTGGCGTTAGCACTCCGTATATTTATTATTATAATACCACGCTTGAGTCGGCGGCCGGCGGTATTGTTGAGCGTTACTTTTGTCATGTTATTGACGAAACAGCAATCTGTAGTAAAGACATTGCCAATATTATTACTATCGATATTATGTTTGGCTTATATCGTTCTTAGTTGCTATTAATTTGGTGTCACTTTTGTTCGTGTTAGACAGATGGACAGCTATTATATTATATGCCTTAAATAGTATCTGAGTGTCTAAATAGACATTAGTAATAATGTTTTACATTAATTAAAGGTACAGTTATTACATGGTATAGAATATACAGTATAAAATAGGACATAGGACAGATTACTCTATATGTATGAACTTTTAATAGTGAGAAACTATATGTGAAAGGATTAATAAAATGGACATGCGTGTATGTGAATATTCATTACAAAGCAATCAACATCCGTCCATTCCGTACTAGATATTATGTTATCTGTGGTACTAGCGACCCGCCCCGGCATCGCACGGGTGCAATGCTGATAGCACGCGCCGCCAGCTGGGCCGGTACCGCCGCATCGCAATGTCCCAGCAATTTAAAAAATCTTTGGAAATCTTAATTTAAATTATATGCTGTAGTATTGATCTATATTAAATGGATAATGTATTTAAGGAATTTACTTGGATAAAAATCACTTCGTCACATTTTACGAGGAAAAATGATTTTTTTAACAAAAAATTCCCGTAAAATGTAAAGGATAAAAATTGTCCTTAAGAGAAATACCATCTCGTACTTTTTTGCTTATCTTTTAAACTTATACAATACAGTAGTAGGTACATTATTTTGATTCATCTCGTGGAGTTCAGCCAGCGTTTACAATGTAAGCGCTGGCTGAACTGTGTGAAAAAAATGTGTTTTTTTATGACATCACATTAGAGACCTCTAAATTATCAGTGTTTCTCTACAATATTATGCATGTATTATACATATAAACGTTCCACTCGAATCACTTTATCTATTAAAAAACTGCTTCAAAATCCAATGCGTAGTTTTTAAGATTTAAGCATACATAGGGACGGACACACAACGACACCGACTTGTTTTATACTATGTAGTGGTTAGACGAACTCGATCTGGTACTGTCACGAACTGCGCGACAAGTAATATTGCCTGCGGCCGGCACTATTATTGTAGAAACAGCAATTTATAATGACGTTTGCGGTCATCCGCCGCTCCACCCAGCTGGGATTTGACGTCCTGTACTGTGGGTACTATTTAATGCGTTAAACATTTTTGTTAGAACTTATGTCGATAATAAAACATTTTTTTATGTTTTTTTATATTATGTATAAGTACACGTAATTCTCTCATTGCACCTACATAGTTGCAACAATAAAACTTTTCATTAGACATATTATGTTTTCTAAAGGACAGAAACAAATAGCACTTGGTTTTATCTGCCTATCCCGTAAGGGTTCTTGCGTGAAGAAGTATGACATACATGCTTGACACATATTGAGCAAAATTTCTATAAAATGGACATGTAACATGACAACTTATATATGTAACAAAATGAAGTAGTAAATCTGAACTGACTAGACTGCTGAAATATAATAAACTGATTGATCGATATTGATAAAAAAAATATTTATGTAAAGGAAAAACCAATAAGCAACCTGTTGAATACACAACAAACACTGCGAGAGAAAATCCAAACTAATTTAATGAATACGAAAATGTGCTTGTTCATATGTTTGCTACCTTTTCACGACTAAATAGCTGAACGGGCTTGAATGAAGTTGATTTAGAACCGAGATTTTCTCAAGACGACTAATGCCTATAAGCATAGGCTATTTTTTATATAAAAAGAGCCTTAGCTGGTTTCTTTTATAAAAGACATGAATTGTTGAAAGATATATTGTGTCGTATATTTTAATCATATTGCCATAATAATATTTCGGAACCAATATTTATTTGATAAAATGACAGTAGGTCATATACTGTGGGTTCGATAAAGTGTACAAATAATTTACGGTTAAACAAAATATCAAACGTAGAAAATAATAAATCTACTATATATATATAGATAATAAATATATAGTAGATTTATTATTTTCATGACTGCTTATTTTATTTTAAAAATGTAGACAAGTTTAATTGTTTACTAAACTATAGTGTATTGAGAACGTTGTAAAATTTGATTAGTGTTTTTGTTTTCTTTAATTAATTATTATTTATATTTACATAGGTACATACGTTGGTTTTAATTTATTATAGTAGTTAATAAAATTACCATCAAAAATACAAATAGCTTCCAGTTTCGTTATAATCAATTTGCAGCAATAAGATATTGGGACATTATTTTATATTTCAATCTTTCTAAGGTTATTATAACCTTACCTACCCTACCTACTTATTCTCAATAATTGCTAAGCAAAAAATTTTATCAAAGGACTAATCATAATAATATACATTATATGTACTAATATATACAAGAAATATGAGAAGCTGTCGAATATTATTCATCTTCAAAAATGTGTTTATAATTTTACTGGTAGATAAAATTTTGAGTACATTGTCATATATCACAATAATTTTTCCCCTATAAAACTCGTCGATGCATATTTGCATATTGTAATTACCAACGCAACGGGGTTAGCTCGAGGTTATCTCGGCCTGTGTCGTCTGGCGGAGACATATGTGACATGTGCGATTAGTATAACTTATCAGAAAAACATATTATACATACTTACTTTATATGAGCTATAATATGCAAAATTGATAATGTTATTTCAATTGAAAAGGAAACACTATAAAATTAATGTCAAATAAGAGGTTGTGCTTACCTAGTCTAAAATCTTATCTAATGGTCCTTAGAAATTTACACGATTACTCATAACTTTAGTGACTTTTGGATGTACTAACATAATAGGTATATGTATAGCATGATACTGAAATTATATTTTTTTAAAACGTGAAATAATTATTACATCATCGCTTTGTCTGTTCTGTGTTATATTTTTTCTAAATCTAAATTACTCTGTGGTATTCGTATTAATTATGATTTTAGATTAATAATGTATTTATTAAAGGAATAAACTTCTTTTAGTGTTATAAAAAGAACAGTTTTCTGTAAAACAGCGGTGTTTATGTTATATTAAAAACTCTAGATTGTTGTAGAATTATATAGTTTACTTTAAAAATAACGGCAGACGGTAGAAGTAGCTTATATTATTTAACACTATATATACAATTCGGAATATTAAAATAGATTCAAAAATAGGATTTGCACTAGACAAAATCGACCGAGCTGCGGATAGAAACATATGTGTAGACGTTAGGTCGGATGGTCGGAGCGGCGAGCGAATAAATGGCCCGCTCTTTGCCTCCCCAATTGCCTGTCGAGGATCACGGACGTTTGAGTAGCGTACACAGTACGCGACTTACGAGTGACGACGTACGTTTGGTGTGTTCAAAAGAAAAATAAAATAAAATTCACATATACGCGCGACTATAGATGAAGCTAATTGTGTAGCGAAAGAAAACTTACGACCTCAAACTTCTTACTTAAGAATGTACTAATAATATTTGTACTTAATACATACATACATACAGTAGTATTAGATAAAATAGAATAAAGCAAATTAGTTAACTTTTTTTATAATATGTAAAATGAATTTTTCAAGTACCATAATCAATTATCAAAATAGGTAATTAATTCTATTAATGTAATTATATCACAATATCCTAAAGTGGCGTTTATTGTAATTAAATAAATCAGAGTATTTGATTAAAAAGCGTAATAAATAGGACTATGTGGCCTATATCTAGGAACAGTTTACATTAGAAATAAAGAAGAAATAAATTAATACACATTAGACCAGTATACAAATAAAAAAAAACACATCCTATTTTCAGTCCACGTATCAGCGGGGATGGATCCGTATTAATGAGACTTTTATTATTTGTAATATTTAGTAACTCGTATCAAAGTATAAGAAGATAAGAACAGATAACTAGTTAGATAAAAGAGACCGGTCGCGTCGAGGTGTTTGCAGTTTTTTGTCCAGGTTAGGAATTATAGGTAGCTGTGTAAGTACGCACACACGCCCGGCCGCCGCCGGCCACAAATCTTCCGTTTCACTCGAGCCCAGCCTCCGAGCGGTGCGAAGAGGAAACAGCACGCTCCAAAGCACGGCGGCTGCGTGATGCCGGCTACTCCCGAAATAGGCTGCCCCCCGCGCGGGGTGCCGGCCCATCGACGTGCTTTTAGTATGCTGCGCGCATGCGAACCGCCCGCACCCTTCTGCGCTCCTAGTCCTTACGGGCGTAAACACGCGAATTATAAAACCATTAAAATTATCGGAAAGCGTGCTAAGTAGCATGCTGTGAACGATGGTAGCGATATTAGCCAACCCTAAATGGAGCGAGGACCTCACCATACAAATGATAATCGAGTACGAGAAACGCGAGTACCTATGGAACCCCGTGTCTGAACATTACAAGAATAAAAAAATAAGGGAACAGGGGTACGTTGAGATAATAAATGCATTGAATTTGATTGATGTAACTGTTAAAGAATTAAAAAACAAGATAAAGAACATACGGTCGTCGTATAGCGTTGAGCTGAAGAAGATTCGCGCGGCGAGGAAGGCTGGCGCGCATGCGTACAGGCCCAGCGTCACGTGGTTCGAGCACGCAGACAGGTTTCTCCGAGCGATAGTCACACCGAGCTCCGTAAGATTACATTATATTTCGTTTACATTTGAATTGTTACATTGACACTTTGACATTGTAATTTCAACCTTGAATATTTTTTGCTAGGTCGATAACAGCCTGTTAGAGATACCGGTGAGCGACGACAGCGATGCAGTACAAGATTTGAGCGAACGTAAGTCACCGGAAAAGAAAAGCCCGCGAAAACGTCGAAGTTCAACTCGTTCGTCCACTCCGTACGTATTAAACACTCCATCCCCTCGACCAAGTACACCGTTTGGGTTGAACACGACACCGGCGACCCCATTCGGTATTCTCCCTACATCGACGTCGGCGCCGTTCCTTAATCCTCCCGTCGGCATAGCTACCCCTTTAACTACCTCACTTGCCACTATCTACCCGGTTCCTACAAAACAAAAGAAAAGCGAAGATCGCAACGGAGATCATAGCGATGTGCCGCAGGATTTGAGTCAGCATTCCGAGAATGGAAATGAGAATGAATTTGAAATGTTCGGCAAATTAATTGCAAGCCAGTTGAGGAAATTGCCGCTAAGTCTCGCTTTGGATACTCAATTGAAGATACAAACTTTAGTTAATGCCGCCAGGATACAAGCTGTGTACCAGCAGTACAGTTATGCGGGACCATCGCAAGAGGCGTTATCAGTGCAGGCACTGTCAAATGGTATATTAGCAAGCATGGCTACACAGAGTAACTATGCCTCTCGAGCGTTGGGTATGCGAAATGATTCCCCTGAAGATATGAATAGAGATATGAAAACAGAGTATTCCTTGGGATCTGAGGTAGAGGATAATTGTTAGGGTTTGCCAACTTCTTGTTGACCAGATAATTAAAATAGCTCTGGTTGTCTTATAAAAAAACGGAATACCTCAAATTTCGGATTTTAAGAATTTATGTATGCTCATAATTGTATACCAGTTTAGATAAAAGTTGACTATGTGTCGATATATACATGTTTTAGATGAGTATATAAATGTGATAGATGTTTAGATAAATATGGAAATATTACAGAGAAATAACTGATACAAGTACAAAATATATATACCTAACGCAAATTTATGCAACATGTTAAAGAATTTTGCTCATAACTTATTAGAAATAGTAACAATGTTTTCGATTAAGTTCAATGACTAGTCATTACATGTCTCAATGTGTAATTTAGATCTCGATGTTTTGGCTGTGTTTAGATTTATTTTATGAATGTACGTGTAACATATCTTTCTGTCCGTGACCTTCACTTGGGCATTAGAATTTAATTTAAAGATAGAAGTTATCGATTTCGAATTTAATGTTTTAGTTTAAACTTACTGTCTATTGACATATAAATCCTTGTAATGTTTGTACCTATAATATAAAAAGGTTAATTAAAATTGCATCATTCCATGATAATGAAATATTTTTTTATATGTTTGACAATTTACGGAATATTAGTAGATGGGATAAGTTATAGTTTGGGTCTAAGTACAAAATATTTTACAAGACAAAATTTTGTTGATATTTTTATAATACATACAGTTTATTTTATAATAATAATAATAGTGTCTGGTATATTTGTGTATCAAATATATGAATACTTGCTAAGTGAAATAAATTACCTCAATATACAGGCAAAAAGAATATTACTTGTAAGTATGGGATGTGACATTCTGTAAAAAAATCTATTAATAAAATTGATCGTTATTTAGAATAGCAGAATATCAATAAAAAAACATTATTTTTCTTAGAATAATCGGTGTTTTTGTTTGTCAACCCACTAGGTAGGGTCTGTAAGAAAATCGATGAATTAAATATATTTTTATGGAATAATAATCGATTAGTTCCATAGTTTATTAGATTTTCACATCCCTATTTGTACAATAAATGATAATAATGATATTAGCTGTTTTCAAGGAGCCATTGGTAAATTGGGCACCTATTTGAGCATCCTTTTCTCCCACGGGTGTTACGGGATATATCTATTATAACATATATATAAATATATTTTAACTTGTTTGATGTGCCACATATAGATTGTATACATAAATATTGTGATTTATTGAGAAATAAATATTTTATAAATGTCAGCAAAAAATTATCAATATTGTTTTATTAGTAGTTACTGAACCCACCGTCTATGCAAGTTCTATGTATCCCTTCACAACTAGGATTGCAGATAGAATCAATAAATAAATAACCCTGGACAACTCCTACATCTAATACATCATTCTCATAAGCAGAGTTAGTACTAGACAATTGATTTCTAATTTCAACATACAGCACCAAGACCCAGTACAAATAGATATAATGAATTCAAATTGAATTCGCGCCCAATTGCAAGTAAACCAATTTGCTAAACCGCTAGACCACAGTTCCTATACAGATATGCATTTTAGACTGAAATATTTATGAAATTTAGTTTTCTTTACTTTTTTACAAAATATGATGAAAATAATAACTTATGCAAGTACGTACCTAATATAAATACTCCATTCAGTGTAGATGAGGGCTTGAATTCCACAGACAGGTCTTTGTCTTAAGACGAAGGAAAAATGTCGAAAACATTTTTCTTTCTTTCGTGTATCTGTAAAACTATGTATCTCAGGTGAAGCGAGATACCTGTAAGTACAAGTTAGTCATAAACGGTATAACCAAGCTGATGATAGAGATAGAATTCATGACTGTGAAGCTAAAAGAATGAAAGGGAAAATAGAACAGATTTTTTAAAATTTTCATACTGCGTGGTCGCGTGATGATTTTGGTATGAAAAGTTGATGGAAATGTTTCAATTTTATGAGTATACTTAATACTACCTGGCTATTGGACATGTACATGTAATACACATAATCTAAAATATAAATAGTAATTGTTTAAGTAAATAAAGTAGAACCTAAAGTACCTTTCTTCTTCTTCTTAATAATAATAAATTAAATTAAATACATACTCATATATCTGAAAATATTTGAAAATGGAACGGAAAAGTTAAATTAATGAATCTCAAAATAAATAATTAAAAGTATTCACGGATTGACGTTATCAATACATAGTCATACTGTATATGCTGTTGGGAGAGATCCTAAATTTCCCGACGTAACATTAAAATCTAATTTAAATGATAAGATACGAAATTTTAAGTACTATCAAAAATAGTTTAAATTTCAAAAGATGCGCTGTACTAGGAGGGGGGGAATTTTGTATATGTCACCAACTTTTTTTTAATGGATGATAATGCAATGGTTTACCAACCTGCGCTAACGCTATACACAAGCGGTGCATCAGTGGAGGATGATAAGATGAACATGAGGTCAGATCAAGAGGTAGGGCTTCGGACAAATTCACTAGGAATCTGAAATAGATTCCTGGTGAATTTGTCCGAAGCTCCCTGGAAACCATCGAAGTGATAGTACCGCGTGGTATTATTTCGATTATTCGGAGGTCAATTTGACATGGTACATGATGGGCTGTTAGTGCACATTTCTAACAATTCCCTTCCCTCAAAATGTGACTAACTGTTACAAGGACGGTGGGCGGGTTCAAAAATCACGAAAGTGTCACATGATTTATGGACGGGTATGTATATGGGCTTTAGAGTTTTTAGGTATATTTAGACTTTTGCTAACATTCAAAATCCGGAACGCGCTGACCATAAAGCCATTAATTTCAATAGATCCAACCCACTGCGTAAATTACAAAAGCTTAGAGCCGTCATACACGGCTGAAACGTTACCGCTGAAAATTCGCACTCGACCGCAATCTAATATTCTACCCAAATAACAGAACGTCGAACGTTCCGTTTCATGGTTTTAATTTATGATAGCGATGATCGATGCGACATACGAGTATTCATTGATTTTGAAAAAACATCGATGTTTCGACTTCGATTTCAATTTTCAAAGATATAGATGGTATGATATTCAGTTTTCGACAAAAAAAAGGAATAAACTGCAGAAAATATTGCAGTTTAAAAGAAATACAGCATGAGATAGGCAGAGGGAGACGTCAAATGACGTTACTTGAAAGTGATATTTGTCATAGTTTACTTAATATCGATACTTCTTGATCGATGTTTCAACCATTTTTTTTAAAAAAGATCATCCCTATTTTAAAAGCGTTATTGCTGTGCATGTCGGCTATTGATTGGTGTTGACGGCGCAGTGTTGCCAACAAAGTTTGAGCAAGTCCTCAAGTTGGACTTTATAAAACCAACTAATTTTGAATGAAACCACAAAATTAAAATTTTGAATAAAAGTAAATATTTTATAATATTAGAAAATATATTAGGTACGTACCTAAAATAATTCAATCGATATTTAGTTTAAGCAAATAACTATTTTAAAATCATGTTATAATACCTTATATCATGTTCAATCAAAATATAACTACACTCAATACGAAATAATCCATCGCAACTTGTTTCTGTTTGATGGACACTGTCCAATTATAGGGCACAGAAATATGATATTAATCCTAAAGCTAATTAGTCTTAATTGTACAAATGATACACATAAATTATCGTCCATGAAACAGGTCATATGCATAATCAACGTTTAGCCAATTTCTATCAGGTAACCTATTGCTTGCTTCCCATTTCATTTACAAAATCCGATCAAATTTAATGCCAAATCCATCCGTTGTAGTGGTAAATCCACTAACATGGCAACACATGTATGGCGCAACCGACAGATAACTGACGAAACAGATTTGCGTGGCTGTAATTAGTTTGCGATACTCGGACACGTTCTCTGCCAGCTCTTTTAATTACCGTAGTTGGTGAAATGTGCGCTGGTAACTGGATGGGACAGAGGTGTCCCATGCAGATTGTTGTTGACTTTGCTCTGTTTTACGCCTGAATTCAATGTGACATTGTCTCGGCCAAGTACCGAAAATCGCATCTGTCGAAATAAGCTAAAAGGTACTTTTTGCTAGCTGGCGTATTTCCTTTATTGGGACAGACAATTTTAGGTGAGGTGATTTGTAGTCAAATTGGTAAAAACGTATATTTTTAGATCGGGTCTCCATTATTTCCCAGAAACCATGAATTTATTCCTACAGACTTAGTTCTCATACTGTCGGTTCCACAAATGACAATAGTCATAGTATATTATTATCTATAATATTTTCGTTGTACTTTTACTTTATTATGGCTGATAATGTAATTGTGCACTCGCTTGCGTTAACAGTATATGCTGGTGGTACATCAGTGGAAGTTGATAGAATGAGGAAAAAGTCAGGTTAGTTAGTCCTTTGTGGTGAATTCACCAAGAGTTAATGATCACGATGGTTTCTAAGGAGAACCGCGTGAAGGCCAACTAGTAAGTAGATTTATAGGGAGTGGCGGTCCAGACCTACCCAGATCAATTCGTTCTGCCCCAAAATGGCTTAGAATCAAACTATCAAACATTGATGGAAAGTTTGAGGCACGTACGTGCGATTAATACAACGTGTGCTAAAGCACTTTGTAGTTTGTTTAATGCACAAGTTGAACTGCAGAATCAACTTATTATAATTTTGAGTCCAGACCATTAGTTGTTCTATGTTTTATACAAAATATGTTAATACTAAGTTATAACGTACCTACTAGTTGGCCACAGTCCACGTGATGGAAAGTGACTCTATGTACCTCTCATGCGTTATACGTTGCTTTATTGTCTTATAAATACCATGAGTAATACGTCGTTGTCATGTCTCTATAATCGGTAATTTCACTGATATATTTCATCACCTGATATCTTGGCACCTGATTATAGTTTGCAAAATTAGCTGCCTAGCGACACTTTGTACAAAGTCACACGTTTGTAATTTTCTTCTAACTACCTGTTTCCTTTTGTTAGCGTTATTTATTTTCCATTCGCAATAGATTTGTCAAGACTCCATTCTTAGCGGATGCTTACGTCATAAAATAAACCTCTTCTATAATATTAATAATTATAATAATCTCTTAGAATACAGATTTTTATACTTAGCAGTTTTGGTGCGTTTGTAGACAGTCAGGAATCGATTATATAAATATAGATGATCTTTATATTTTGTATTCTTATTACTTAATATTTAGAGGCATTAACAAAGAAGTAATTGAATAGAGACTATTTTGTTTTAAATTTATAGTCGATTTCACATTTTATTTTTATTAATGCAGTTTTTATTAAGCGGCTGTATTCAGGAAGTAAAGTGAATAGGAATCATGTTCGCAGTAAGTTAGGCAGTACGCCTACGCGCCCGCAGCATCATTAGATCAACCCAAAATGGCGCGAAATGGCGCGCGAAACTAGAGTGCAACGTCGCGAGCCATTAGCATTTATTATTATTCGAGTTATCGCGCGCGTGAGTGAGTCGTATTATTATGATAATACGTCGCAGAATGACTAGTCTCTGTGAAAATATGGCCACAAAGAACATACGCCAATGTTAGCAGCATTAACATGAGAACGATCCAAATTTTATTGACAATGGAAATTCGTTTGAAACTAATTTGTAAAAAGAGACACAGAGAGAGAGAATCATAGAGATTGTAAATGAATATTACTACTACTACTATTTTACTCCCATGAGGTAAATAGATATATTGTTAACGAGATAATTAACATGATAATATTGTTTATGAGCTCCCGATACTTCAAAGCAGTTCTGTTAAAAACGTCTTGGTCGACTGTAAATAGCGATGGTACCCGCATTCTTAGACTTTTTTCACGTACACCGGTTCTATTACTATTAGAAAACACATGATAATCACGACAAAACACACTTATTTTTAAGTATTACCTAACACTGTATTCCATGTATTGGAAAACTTGAATCTGTCTTCTATTAATAAGTATGTTCTTTACGCTAAGAAATCAGCAATCACTCGTATTAATTTGGTTTATCGCCGAGGTTTATATTATCGGAGAGTCTCTCTCTCTTTCTTAACTCAAACATTAATTTTATATATGGAATTACAAACAAGCTGATGGATCACTTGATGTAAAGGTGGAGAAAAACTATTGGTTATATACATAAATATCGCCCGTGGTACCCTCACGCATTGTCCGGAGGAATACCACGTCATGCCTCCATATTCTATAATTTCACTCTCGTATCTCATC